CTACCCCCAGAGACACTGTTATTATCTGGGCCCCTTGGCCCAAGAAGCTGCTGAGGATGACTGGTATGAAGGAGGCTGCACTGCCACCCTGGGCAACTTTGTGAAGTCCACCTTTTATTCCATCTCCAAGATCTACAGCTATCTCACCCACAAACTTCTAAAGAGACCATGTTCACCAAGTCCATATCAAGAATTCACTGACCTTCTAGTCAAGATCCATAGGAGAGTCTCCATGCAGAGGACCTGGGCTCTAGCTTTGGCCACCACATAGTGTTTTTTTACAAGGAAAATAAAGTGAATACTATAGGACTGTAAAAAACAAATCACCTGTGAGACACGTTTACTACACAAAATCCTGGACCTCATCCTCAGACATTCTGATTCAACCCAAGCAGCTCCTGTAGTGATCCGCAGACCACACTGAGGCACAATGAAGTAGTGTTTTACTGTTATCCTCATTGGTCCCGTGAAGCCTGTAAATACCCTGGCGTACATTCCTGATGGAGGAGGTAGTGTAAGACCGCCAGCCAGCAAGTCCAGAATTCCAGCAAGCCTGCATGGGAGCCCTGTGCAACCCCTGTCCACTAATATCCACATGCTACTCTTTGGAATTAAGCTCTCTTTTTAAAACTTCTTTATATTCTGCATAATTCTGCATTTGGTTAGTTGTTAGTTCTTAATTTCTAACACAAAATTTTTTTCGCTTGCACCCTTTCAGGCTCTTGGTATTCGTCCTTAATTATTAGAATGGCCTTATGGTCCTTAACATCAACTCTGCAAACTTTTTCGAGTTCAATACCTTCAGAGATATCCTAGTACAAACACACACACACACACACAAATCCATAAATTTCAATAGCCCAGACTTCATTCCATTGAAATGTAGATTATGACAGTATTAGAGACTTGAGGAAAAAGAAAATGGCAAGACATTGATGCAAGTCAAATACTATTGGAGAACTGGAACTAAAAGAGTTTTATTGGCATATTGAATACATTTTAATTTTTTTTCCAGGAAGCGGTCACTAATTTTTGCCAGAAAAAGGAAAAAAGATAATGGCAGAGTTCTTTGCAAATAGTATTTGTAGTTATTTGTGCAAAGTGAATCGATGTTGAAAACGAAAACACCACCGCTTTCTGTGGGTTGTGTTTGGGTCCATTCTGAAGCTCCGTGGCTTACACCCGTTTCTCACAGCGGTTCAAGGGCCCTAAAGAGAACTGCGGGGATGAGCCAGTGAGGATGCTGCAGACAAAAGGGGCAGCTGCGCCCGGACTCTCCAGCCCCGGAGTGGCCGGCCCGGCGGACTCCGCCCAGCCGGCGGGAATCCGCGCAGG